GTAAGACGATAAGACGATAGAAGGCGATCAGACGATAAGACGATAAGACGATATAGAGACCCGCCAGACGATAAGACGATAAGACGATATATGGTCCCGCCAGACGATAAGACGATAAGACGATAAGCCGATAAGAGTTACCGTCTTATCGTTCTATCGTCTTGTCGTCGTATCACCCAAAGCTTTAATTATCACCCATGGGCCATAGCTATGCCGTGCTATGCCATTCCACGGGGCCCCGATTGGCTCCCCTCAGGGCTCTCCCGTTTCTGGAGGCCGAGCGCCCCACCTTGGCCTCCGCCCATCAAGGCGCCTTACTTGGGAGCTCGCCTTGGAGGCCCCTCCCAAAAACCGAGCCGGGAAACTGTATCCCCCCATCACTCCAAAAACCGTTTCTGGAAAGCGTTTTAAAAGTCAATTGTCGTTCGATCTCTACGATCCTTGGGCTTCTTGGCGGTCCCAGGGTCCTCTTGGGTGCCTCGGGGAGCCCCTCGTGGCCTCGTGGGCATCTCTTACACACCTACACACCTAGCCAAAAGACGACCAGACGATAAGACGATACGACTTATTGTATTACCGTCTTATCGTTTTCCCACCTTAAGCTGTAGTTATCACCCATGGGCTATAGTTATCATCCACGGCCCGGGAGGAGGAAGAGGGAGGAGGAGGAGGAGGAGGAGATCCGTTTCGCGTGAGACATCCTCGGGAGCTTGGGCTCCGATATGCCACAACTTCTGATGATCTGGGCAGTCTCGCCTGGGACATCCTCACTACCCACATTTCTCGAAGAGTTCTGGCCCGCTTCGCGTGGGACATCCTCGGCACTCTGGGATCCGAGATGTTTTGATTTGCGGTGATCTGGCCACCTTCGCCTGAAACATCCTCGCAACTCTGGATTCCGTGATGCCCTGCCCCCTGGTTGTCCGGCCTTTTTCGCCCGTGACATCCTCGCAACCCTGGGTTCCGACACGCCCTGGGCTGAGATGGTCAGGCCACTTTCGCTTGAGACATCCTCGCAACGCTGACCTCGGAGGTGCCCTGCCCTATGGTCGTCCGGCCGCTTTCGCCTGCGACATCCTCCTAACGTCATCGTGGTCATCGTCGTCATCATCATCGTCATCATCATCGTCATCGTGGTCGTCGTCATAATCATCAGACGACGAGACGATAAGACGACAAGACGATAATATTGCTTCGTCGTCTTTTCATCTTATCGTCTGGTGTGGCCCTATATCGTCTTATCGTCTTGTCGTCTATCGTCTGGTGTGGCCCTATATCGTGTTATCGTCTTAGCGTCTTATCGTCTGCTGCCCCGTCATCGTCTTAGCGTCTTATCGTCTTATGTCGCCTCATCGTCTTATCGTCTTATCGTCTGTGCGAGGTTTAAAGCGCTGATCTCACCCACTCTGGATGTATATATATATATATATATGTATATACACACATCTATGTATGAGTGTATGTATGTATTCGTGCATGTATGTATGTATATAAATATATGTATATATTTGTATATATATATATATATATGTGTGTGCGTTGGTCTCTGGAGGCCATCTTGTGGGTGCTCTTGAAGATTTCCTGGAGCGCATTTGATTTTTTGTTCGAAGACCTTACGGCCGGTGCCGTCGACTTTGGAAGGGGACGACGACGACGACGACGATGACGACGACGACGCTGACGTGGGTCAGAGTCCTCAGGGATGTTTCTTGGGGTCTCTTCGGAGCGCTCTCGGGGGCCTCTTGGGGGCACTTTTGGAGCCTCATGGGAGCGATTTGGGAGCCTCTCGGGGGACTCTTGGAGGCCTCTTGGGCCTTCGTGGGGGCCGCCTTGGGAGCCTATGACGCCGTCTTTGGGCGATCTTGGGGGCCCCACGGGCCGTCTTCGAGCGTCGGGAAGCCGAAAAGGCGAGAATGCCCAAATCTGCCAAAAACCAAACGAACATCAATGAAGTTTGCCTCGTGGGAGTGCTTTGGGAGGCCTGTTGGGGGTCTTGGAAGCCTCTTAGACCTGGCCCGGCACAGAAACGGAAAGAGCGATTCAGAAACATAAACCGAAATTATTCACCACCGTTCGTACTGGGAGCCTTGGCGTTGAGAGCTTGTTACTTCACCCCTCGCTCTTTGGAGCCTTGGTGTTCAGAGATTGTTGCGTTGCCGCCCGTTCCTGAGCCTTGGCTGGGCCTTGGTGTCAGGAACTTGTTACGTCACCGCTCTCTGCTGGGAGCCTTGGTCTTATCAGCTTGTTTATGTCACCGTTCGCTCTTGGGAGCCTTGGTGTGAAGAGCTTTTTGCGTTACCGATCGCTCTCGATTTGGCGTCTCTGGGCCTTCTTGGGAGTCCTATTGGGGCCCTTGTCGGGCCCTTTTGGAGGCCTCTTGGGAACCTCTTGGGGGCCTCTTGGGGCTTCTTGGGAGGCTCTGGGGGCCTCCTGGGAGCTTCTTGGGGTGAAGGGCTAGACTTTTCGGTTCGTGGTTCCCCTCTTGGGGCCGTCTTGGGGCCCTCTTGGGTCGTCTTGGGCGCCTCTTGGGTCGTCTTGGGCCCTCTTGGGCCGTTTTGGGGGCCTCTTGGGAGCCTCTTGGGCCGTCTTGGGGCGGTCTTGGGGGCCTCTTGGAGCGTCTTCAACGCAGTGAAAGCCGAAAAGCATTGTATGCTAAAAATGTACCTTCCCCAATAGGGAATCAATGATTTTCGCCTCCCGGTGGCCTCTTGGGACGCCTCTTGGGGGCCTCTTGGGGCTTCTTGGGGGGCTCTGGGGGCCTCCTGGGAGCGTCTTGGGGCGAAAGGCTAGACTTTTCGCTTCGTGGTCCCCCTGGGGCCGTCTTGGCGCCCTCTTGGGCCGTCTTGAGCGCCTCTTGGGCCGTCTTGGGGCGGTCTTGGGGGCCTCTTGGGCCGTCGTCAACGCCGTGAAAGCCGACAAAGCGCATATGCTAAAAATATACGTTTTCCTTTGGGAAATCGATGATTTCGGCCTCTTGGGGCCCTCTTAGGACGCCCCTTGGGCGCCTCATGGGGGCCTCCTGGGGGCCTCTTGGGCCGTCTTGGGCGGTCTTGGGCTCTCTTGGAGCGCTCTTGGGCCGTCTTGGGGGGGAACCCGAAAAACATGCAAAAACCCGAGGGAAAACCCGAAAGCGGCCATTAACACGCAGGTGCGCACGCTACCCCCCTCCCCTGGAACCCCTCCCTTTAGGGCTTCGCCCACACCAGAACGTCATCACTCGTACCTCGCTTTTTCCGTTACTTGGAATGTCTGGAGGCTACCTTGGGCGTCTTGGACCGAGCGTTCGGCGATTCGGGGCCCTCTTGGATCGTCTTGGGGGCCTCTTGGGGTACTCTTGGCCCGTCTTTGGTTTTTGGGGGGCTCCGGGAACCCCCGGGGGGATGGTATTCTGACCGGGGACTCCCGCCTTGCTACCCCTCCCTAGGATCCCCCCCAGGGGACCCCCCACGGGACCCCCTTCGGGACCTACACCCCTGGCAGGGAAGGGATCAAAGGGAAATAACGTCCCGTCTATTTCGCGACAATCTGATTCAATGTCCTTGTTCTTAAAATTTCATTGGCACTGACAGCGAAGACGACAACAACGACGACGACGAAAACGGAAAAAGCGCCTCCCACACGACGAAGGGTCGGTGGATTTAAATGTCTGTAGATACACATATATATACATATATATGAATGTGGGGGTACATATATATATATATAGATGCTTATCTCTCGTTATCTCTCCCTCTCTGTCTCTCTCTCTCTCTGTCTCTCTCTCCCCCTCTCTCTCTGTATATCCCTCTACCTATCTCGCTTCATCTCTCTCTCTCTCTCTTCGTTGTCTCTCTCTCTCGCCCTCCCTTCTTTATGGTTTGGGTGTTCATACTTGTTGTTTTTGATGTTGTAATAGTATTATGCTCGTTGTGATTATAGGTGTTATGCAGTTGTTTTGTTGTGGGAATTCTCTGTCGTTATTTCTCTCTCTCTCTCTTTCTCTCTCTCTCTCTCTCTCCTCTCTCTCGCTCTCACTCCTTATTGCAATATTTTTTCCCCTTCGCCCTCCTTTTTAACCACTCGGCCCAGGCCTGCATACAGGCTCCAACCCTTCCTCATCCTTTTGCGCTTCCCCCCTCACCAATCGAACTGCGCAGCTTCCGTGTCATTGTCTCGGGTTTGCGAGGAGCTGCCAGTATTTCTAACTCTTCACGGCTGCTGTTGACCGCCAGTGGAGAAGTCCTCAGGAGCATCTCGACGGCGGGGGAGCCTCAGGGAAATATGTGCCTTCCCTGGGAGTCTCCTCCTCGTTCTGATCCTCCTCGTCTTCTGGCCCTCCTCTCACCTAAACAGCGCATCGCAGAGCATAAAACCAGGACGTGCGGGCTCACAGATACGCAGGCCATCGAATCTGTGCAAGCGATGCGACAAGCAGCGTGCTTACACGATACATTCGTCTTGGTACACAGCCCAGCGGTATCAGTCAGATTGGGCACTTTCTCCTCGCAATAACACTGGGCTTGGACACCGCGTGGGGGTGCGAGGATCTGCAGAGATCCCATCATACGGGATGATGATGTTTTGTTAGGTCCTGTCGGGTCGGGTACACGGTCAGGGGCGTCACCTGAGGCTTTGATTGATGCAGAGCATCTTGTTGACGTGAGCCGTGGATTCGCGCCAGCTCAGCTTGTTTGAATGTCAGCAGCCAGTCTCTCGGAAGCGAGCCGTGCTCGCGGCGGTCGTTGCAGAGCGCACCATCGCAGCCTTCCGCCCCCGACTGGGCCCTGCGGCTTGGGGGTCTTGGGGCATGCTGTTGGAAGTTGGCCAGACGGTTGAGCAGTCGGTAGTCAGGTGGAGCAGCGGGAGTAGCAGGCGGTTGCACGAGGTTTGAGGTTTGGGGGGGGGTGCATATTTGTTTTGAGTTTTCCAGAGACGTCCTCGAGACTCTGCACTCCAGCCGTGGCTCCGCCCGCTCACCTCCAGAATTCTGCCCCCTCGCACGGCTTCCGAGACCTCCCGAGGTGGTGGTGAAGTCGGCCTCCTCGCCCTCGTCGTCACCCACAAGAGGACCGTCGAGTCAGAGACCTGCCAAGCCGCTTCACAGGCCGGATGGCTGCCAAGCACGCCGACGGTGGAGTTGTAGAAGGGCGAAAGATGAAGATGCTGTTGATGCAATATTTAAGAAAATCTTATTCTGGGCCAAGCAGGAGGCAGTGTAGGTTGATCCCTTGCCATGAAAGTGACAAAGCGGTACGGTCTGGTATACTACACGCAAATCAGGCAGGCTGAATCAAGCTTCCGTGTGTTATCACGAGGTGGGATCAATGGCGTTGGGCCCATTCGTAGTGAAATTCGTTGCCGGCATGATGTTCAGTGTCGGACGCTCACGTCGTGCATTCTTTTCGATGCGTTCGAGGCGACCGTTGCATGCGCTGCGTTGTGGCGCGTTTCCCCCCCCACCCTCCGCGTTTTGGTAGCCGTTGGTTCCAGAGGAAGAGCGAGCGAGAGGGAGAGAGAGGGAGAGAGAGAGAGAGAGGGATAGCGAGAGAGAGCAAGAGAGAGAGAGAGGACAAACCAATGAGGTAAACGTGTGTCGGGCAAGCGCGACATGCTTGTTGTGCTTCTCTTGGGCCCTCTTGTTGGCTGAATATCTACGTTCAAAACAGTGCTGGCCACTTACAGTTCAGTTGCGACGTTGGTGCCTCGCCGTACTTCCACCGGGCAGACTTAAACTTCACCCCTGGGCCAGAATATCAGATTTCGGGCAGGGTCAGCTAGGGCAGGCTGCGGCATGCCCAGGCCACCTTTTAGCTGCATGCGATGACAGAATGCCAACGTCAGCATGTAAGAAGGAGCGTGTGTAACTCAGCCAGCGCACGTCGAAGTGGGTGGTAGAAGCGAAGGGGCAAAAGCGAGTGGAGAGCGGTCGCGTATACAGCATTGTCTGGGCGGGATCATTGAGAGGCAGAACCGCAGAGTTTTGCGCCACGACTTAGCTCTCAGTCTAAAGCGAGAGCCTCATTTTCAGAATCGAAGCCTTGTGGCAACGCAGTATGCGGCCGACCACCTGTGTACAGCTCGTTCGACATTGGTTGAATTCTGATTCATGGGCTTACGCCGCACCGCCGACCCCCTGGGACTCCTGGTAAGCCCTGGGGGGGTTCCTTTCAGCACCAACATTCTGTCTCTCGCTATCTCGCGCGTGGTCTTACTCGCGCACTGTGTCGCAGCCGTCACCGTCGACATAGTCAGGACCTCCATCGCCACCAGACTGCTGGCACACGGAGCACGCCCAGAGGGATCGCGATCCTCCTCCTTCCAGCCACGCGACAAGAAACCCAACGTTTCGCAGTTCTGAGGAACGCTGTTGCTGTGAGTATCGCGTCGGTGGAGCCCCCCATGTCGCCGCGACAAACTGCCGCCGGCCGCTGCTGCGTCGCACCAGGCCCACCCTCAGCAGCCGCCGAACCAGGCCATCGCGCGAATCTTCATATGTTACGTATATATATATATATAAGTATATATATATATATATATATATATATATAATAGTAGTATATATACATATACATACATTTAGATATACATATACACCTCCAATCCTATATTGTACACACACGCGTACATAACATGGGCAGGCATGCGTGCACAGAGGTGGCACTGCGCGGTGCCATTCGACAGCGTGGTTTTTGGTTCCAGAATGGGCTCGTGGTTTGTTCATTCGGCGCCAGGTAGGCCCATTCCCTCCCAAGGGGGGAAGTGGTGAGGAAAGAGGAAGCATCCTCGGTGCGTAGTGAGGCCGCCCATCCTCTTTGCCTCAGCTTCCGTCGCCAGTTTCGGCCCTTGCTGCGCGCGCGCGCAGGGCCCCCGTCCATGCGGGGCGCGCGGCAGCCGCAGCGACGACTGCAGGGCGTCAGCAGGTCGCTGTTTTTTTGATCGTGTCGGAGTTTTCTTGGAATGCCGTTCCGTCGGAGTTTTCTCCTCGAGGCTTCTTGGACCGTCGTGGTACGGTCTTTGGGGGCTCTTGCGGTCCAGGAGCAGGGGGCACCCCAAAAGGCGCACGTGTGAAAAACTATACGTTTTACGAAAGGAACGGGCGACTGTTTGCGTCTTGACGCCGTCTTGTGGCGCAGCTTGGATGCCTCTTGGAACGTCTTGGGGGCGTCTTGAGCCGTCTGGAGGCCGTCGGCAGTGTTTTCGATCGCTCTGGGACCGTGTGGGACCATGTGGAGCTCTCTTGGATGCCACTCGGAGCGCTCCTGGAGCGCTCTTGGGGCCGTTTTCGGAGCCCTCTTGTGCCGTATTGGACGCCTGCGGGCCCGTTTTGGGGTCCTCTAGGGCTATTTTGGGAACCCTCTTGGAAGCTTCTTGGGCCTTCTAGGAGCGGGTTTAGGGGGGCTCTGGGGCCGCCCAGGAGCGGGGGGCACCCCGACAGGCGCACGTGTGGAACGCATTATATATATTTATATATATATATATATATACATATATATATATATATATATATATATATATATATATATATAATATATATTCAAAGGGAGGACGCGATTTTTTTGCGTCTAGAGGCCCTCTTGGAGGGCATATTGGAGGCCTCTTGGGGCGTCTCGGGGGCCTCTTGAGCCGTCTGGAGGCCGTCGTCGATGTTTTTGATCGCTCTTGGACCGTCTGGGACATTGCGGGGCTCTCTCGGGGGCCGCTCGGAGAGTTCCTGGCGCTCTTGGGGCCGTTTTCGGAGCCCTCTTGGGCCGTCTTGGACGCCTGTGGGCCCGTCTTGGCGCTCTCTAGGGGTATGTGGGGGACCCTCTTGGAGGCTTCTTCAGCCGTCTGGGGGCGGGTTTGGGGGCCTCTTGGGCCGTCGGGGAGCATCGGAAAGCTCAGAAGCCGAACTTGTGAAAAACGCACGTTTCACGAAGGGAATGGGCCAAATTCTGCGTGTAGGGACCCTCTTGGGGCGCATCTCGGAGGCCTCTGAGGGGCTCGTGGGGGCCTCTTCTGCCGTCGAGATGGCCTCGTGGCCCGTCTTTGGGCCACCTTGGGCGTCTTGGAGCGCTCGTTGGGCGCCCCGGAGCCATTTCGAGGCCACCACAGGCGTCCCTGCACGATTTTCACGCGGTTGAATTCTGATTCCCCGAAGTGTTGTCGGGACGACCTTCGGGGTTACAGGGGTTCCAACATGAAGGGCTGCCTTAGTGGCCTTTTTGGTGCCCTCTTCGGCCGTCTTGGGGCCTTCTCGAGCCATCTTGGGACGCTCTTGGGCCGTCATCTCTCGAGACAGTCTTGGGGTTTCTTGGGGCCGCACTGGGGCCCTCTTAGGCCGTCTTGGGGCTCCCCCGAGCCGCATGGCGCCTGTCAGGGAGCTCTCTTCGAGCGTCGTGGTGCCTTGGTTGGCTGTGTTGGGCATGTCATGGGCCGTCTTATGGTTTCTTGGGACGACACTGGAGCTCGCTTGGGCCGTCTCTGGCCTTGTGACGCACGTAGGAAAATCGAAAATGCCAAAACGTGCACCATTGGTTTGACAATGCCTCCTTCTCTGGGAGCCTCTCTAGCCGCCCCAGGGCCACCCCCGGCCGCCCCGGGAACCTTCCGGGCGTCTTGAAGCCCTGCCGGGCTGTCCGGGTGGCCATCCGAGAGCATCCCGCGCCCGCCGTCCGGTGCGGTCCCTCCTTCTCCGCGGCTCCCCCGTCCCTCGGCGGCTCCTCCGTGCACCCTAACCGCTGCTGCTGTTGATGATTATGATGATGATGATGATGATGACGTCGATGGTGATGGTGATGGTGATGATGATGGTGATGATGATGGCGATGCTGATGATGACGACGACGACGATGCTGATAATGATGAAGGTGATGATGAAGCCGAAGACGATGCTGATGATGGTAATGTTGCTGCTGGTGATGCTAATGAAGATGATGATGAGCAGCATGATGATGGCGATAGTGATGATGACGACGACGATGATGCTGATGATGACGATGTTGATGATGACGTGATGGTGGTGATGAAGCCGAAGACGATGCTGATGATGATGGTGGTAATGCTGCTTCCGACGATGACGATAGCATGATGATGGTAAATATACTGAAAATGACGATGATGATGTTGATGATAGTGATGTTGACGACGATGATGGTGATGTTGATGATTGTGATAATGATGGGGGTAATGATCGTGATAGTCATGATGGTGATGCTGGTGCTGATGATGATGATGGTGATGCTGCTGATGATGATGATGAAGATGATGATGATGCTGATGGTGATGGTGGTGATGAAGCCGAATCCGATGCTGATTTTGTTGGTGGTGCTGCCTCTGCTGCTGGTGGTGATGGTGAAATCTATGATCATGATGTTGTTGGTGATGGTGATTATGGTGGTGATGATGATGGTGACGAAGATGAGCACTACCGCGATGCTGATGGTGTTGATGTCAGCGCTGACGATGATGATTCTGATAATGACGCCGAAGGCGATGCTGATGATTATGGCAATGCTGCTGCTGATGATGATGATGATGCCCATGACGATGATGATAATGATCATCATCATGAGCATGATCATGCCGATGCAGATGACCAGGTTGATGATGGTGATTCTCATGATGATGACAATGACGAGGATGATGATGCTGATGCTGATGCTGGTGCTTATGATGATGATGATGATGATGATCGTGATGATGATGCTGATGGTGATGATGGTGCTGATGATGGTGATGACGACGATGATGAGGATGATGAAGCAGAAGACGATGTGTATGATGATGGTAATGCTGCGACCGATGATGTCGATGATGACGGTGATGGTGCTAGTGATGATAATGTTGATGGTGATGTTGATGATGATGGTCATGCTGATGATGGTGACGACGACGATGATCAAGATGGTGACGAAGACGCCGAAGAGATGATGCTGATGATGATGCTGATGCTGCTTGTGCTGCTGCTGATGATGATGATGATGAAGACGATGATCATGATATTGATGGCGATGGTGAGTATGATTGTGATGGTGATGATGTTGATGCTGATGATGACGACGATGATGATGATGGTGATAACGAAGATGGCGATGATGATGTTGATGCTGCTGCTGATGGTGATGCTCATGATGACCATGATGATGATAACGGCAATAATGATGATGGTGAAGGTGATGATGAGGATATTGATGATGTTGATGATGTTGATGGTCATGGTGATGATGATGACGACGATGATGATGATGGTGATGATGATGTCGAAGACGATGATGATGCTGTTGATGACGATTAAGAATGTGATAGGGATCATGGTTAGCATGATCCTGATGCTGGTGCTGCTGCTGAGGAGGAGGAGGAGGAGGAGGAGGATGGCGATGCTTATGTGTTTATCAATATATGACGGTGACGCTGATGAGGTTGATTCAGGAGAGGAAAAAAACACACAGACACAAGTAATCCTCGATTTCCCAGAAAATATGGAAAAATATGGGAAGTGGGGGGGGGAAGACAGAAGCCCAGAACATGTGGGAACATATGGGGAATCTTTTTATTTGTGTGTATTCATTTGTGTGTCCTGGGGCCCCTTCGTTGACGATGCTCACGACGGCAACGGCGTGCCCGTGTTTGACTTGCACGCCCGTTCTGCACGTGCGGCCCGCCGCACACGGGCGCCGCCGCGCATGTTCGCACGAGCCGGGGCCCTGCCTGCGCCCGCCCTCGGGGCGGGGGCGAAGGAGGAGCGAAGGAGGAGCGAGGAGGACGAGGAGGAGGAGGAGGAGGAGGAGGAGGACGAGGAGGAGGAGGAGGAGGAGGAGGAGGAGGAGCGAGGAGGAGCGAGGAGGAGCCAGGAGCGAGGAGGACCAGTTTAAAACCAAGAGTCATCAGCGATGTTGGAGTAAACCCTCCCTCCAAGCTCCCTCTTCATAGGCTCGAGACGGTCGCCCGTCGTGTGGCCAGTGCTTCCTAGCCCATGGGGCTGCTGGAGGTACCCTTTCGGTCAGTGAGGTCTCCCTCACTTCCAGCAGTGGTTTCCCAGCCACCGCTGCAGGGTTTTTTTCACCAAGGCTGTGCGGGCGTTGATCTCAAATCAAAGGTTCATTTCCACAGGGAACTGCCTCGTTAGAAGACGCCCGTTTGGAGACCCTGAAGCGTCCCAAAACATTGTTCTCGGGATTCCAACGACACAGATCAAGCTGACTCTTTGGGAACGTCACGCTACGCCCTGTTCCAGAGTGTTCCGGAACGCTCTAAGAGCGCTCCTGAACGCTCTGAGATGGCCGCGTCACCCGAGACGCCTTCAGAGCCGCCAGGTGTCAGGTGTTCTCGATGTTATCCTCACCCGATCTCATCCTCGTCCTGGCCTCGTCTTAGATTGGGAAAGGAGGGGCTGTCGGGGGCAGCCAAAACGGTTCGGGTGTTGCTAGACGTGCCTCCGCCCAAGGGCCTCCCAGGGTTCTGGGGTGGCCCAGGCGGCCTCCAGAGCACCCCTCACGAGGCCCAGAGGGCCCAAGGGGCTCAAACATGGAGTGGGAAGCGTGGGGCACGTTGGGCCAGGGGCACTTCTAGCAACACCCGAACGGTGTGGTGAGTCAGTGGTGATTCGGGGTCACCGCGCGGTCTCGGGGCTCGGGTCGTTTCCCGAGGAGGAGGAGGAGGAGGAGGAGGAGGAGGAGGAGGAGGAGAAAAGAGGAGGAGGAGGAGAAAAGAGGAGAGGAGGGAGAAAGAGGAGGAGGAGGAGGAGGAGGAGGAGGAGGAGGAGGAGGAGGAGGGGGCGGAGGAGGAGGAGGGGGCGGAGGAGGAGGAGGAGGAGGAGGAGGAGGAGGAGGGGGGGGCTGTGGGTGTGCTGGTCTGCAGGTCTGGTCTCCCGCCCCGCACGCTCGTTGGGCCCTCGTTGCGTGGCGTCTTCGGGGGGCCTCGCCTGTCCCCCCAAAAAACTGGTGCCTTTTCTTGTGCCCGACGCGGGCTCGATGCGGGCTCGACGCAGACACGGCGTGGATTCGACGCGGATTCGACACGGATTCGACACGGATCCGACGAGCCCGACATGGATTCGACACCGATGCGACGCGAGGGTCAGACAAGGTCCCCCGAGGATGCCACACAGCGCGCTCGTCGAGTTTTCGGGGGGGGGGGGGGCACGGTCGACCGAATCGGACGTCAAGTCAAGAGTCGCAGGCGAGTTCTCAACCCCAGTCCCCGACTTTTCCACGAAGAATCGAGCCGCTCAGAAAAGGAGGGAAGCTCGGGGATACACCCCAGGGGGTCCAATCGGACGCATCCCGATCGAGGAGGGGCGCCCCCCTGTCCCGTATCCCCGAGCTGGCCCCCGAAGTCTTGGTCCTCTCCGAAAACCCACGAAGCTTGGGATAGGGGTCGACAAATCCCTCCTCAGAGTCAGAATTGGGCCACAGGCTGCGTGGCGGCACCATCGAAAGTCCACGGGCCAGGCCGCCGGCGACCGAATCGACAGGCAGGGCCTCGCCCCATGCGAGGGGGCCACGAGCGCGACATGGGCGCTGGGCCCTCGGATCGGAAGTCGAAGCCCGATCTTGCAAACAAGCGAGCCAAGACGGGACCACGGGACCTCCTCCTCCTCCTCCCCCTCCTCCTCCCGCTCCTCCTCCTCAGCCTCCTCCTCCTCCTCCTCCTCCTCCTCCTCCTCCTCCTCCTCCTCCTCCTCCTCCCCCTCCTGCTCCTCCTCCCCCTCCTGCTCCCCCTCCCCCTCCCCCTCCTCCTCCTGCTTCTCGAGGCCGACGCCCGTCGCCCGCGTGGCAACGGGCGGCCGCTCCACCGGGGCGCTTCTCGAAAGTCAGGACATCACCAAGGACCACCCGCCTTGAGCCAAGACGGGGGCCACGGGACCACGGACGACGGGCCCGTTCTCCACCACCACCACCACAAGCCGGGGCGAGGGGGGAGGAGGTGGAGGAGGAGGAGGAGGAGAAGGACCCCCTCCCCCTCCAACGTATAGTGATGGTGGTGGAAAACAAGCCCATCAACGGACCATTCGGGAGCCTTGAGACGGGGGTCAATGCAAGCGGGGGTCAGCCAGAGCGCCCGATCTTGCAGGATCCTGCAGGGCCAGGGTCGCATTGACCCGGGCTTGGGTGCAGGATCCTGCAGGGTCTTGAACGATCCTTCGCATTTGCCCGGGCTTGGGTGCAGGATCTTGCAGGATCTTGCAGGATCCTGCAAGGCCTGACTGACCTGGGTCTGCATTGACCTGGGTCAGAAGATCCCCGACACAACCGTCCGAATCGAAAGTCCATACATCACTAAGGACCACCCGCCCTAAGGGACGACGAGACACCACTGTCCACCAGACTGTAAGTTGGGCCACCGTCACCCTGAGGACTGTCTCGGGGCATGTGTGAGCTGTTCAGTTCAAGCCATGTTGCTCGCTGACTGTTTGGGGTCTCCCTGCAGGGTGGCATTGCATGTCCAACGCCACAGTCGTGGACTAGGCACTAGGCAGGCTTCAAAGTAGCATCGGCCAAGCGCATAATCAGTCCGTTGGGCCTGCGTGGGAGGGCCTGGCGCCGGCCCCCGGGGGCCGCGACGGCACATCCGCAGCCGATCTGTCTCGAGGCCACGCCTGGCCTGCTGCGGCTCGGGACCAGCGCCTGCGAGCCGAAGGCCTGTCGCTGAGAGCGCGGGCCGCATGTCGGACGACGCTACCGCAGCCCCGTGGTCGTCCCCGGTCAAGGGCGGCAGCGCGGGCCCACTCGCAGCCCGAGCGGTGCGTCTCGCGGCGCAGGGCCGCGCGGGCGCGGCCGCCCACGAGGAGGCGGCGGCTCTCCTCGAGGACGGAGGCCGCCCCAGCGTGTCCGCGGGGGCCTGCTCCGGCGGGAGGAAGACCGGGCTGCTGCTGCTGCTCGTCAGCGTCGCCGTGCTCCTGATCCTGGACGGCACCCGCACGTCGATCCGCGAGTCGGCCAGGCGGCCCAAGCGGACAGTTGAGCTGGAGGGCGAGGAGTCCTGCCACACGGCGCGGGAGGGCGAGGAGTGCCACACCCTGGTGTCCTGGGTGATGAAGGTCGCCAGGCGCCAGGGCAATGCCGACTGGGGGGGGCTCGGCGTCACGCCGTCCTCGACTCGGGAGGAGGTCCAGCAGGCCCTGCACCTGTCGGAGGAGGAGGAGCGCGTGTGTCCCCGGCCGTGCGGAGGCGGCAACATCGTGAATACGATCCCAGACATGGCCAGGCCCGCGAGCAAGACCATGGCCACCACCACGACCGCCGATGCGAAGTACATGCAGGACAGGGCCAGGGCGATGGCCCTCATCCAAGCGGCGCCCACGCAAGATCCGCACGCGGCGGCCGCCGAGGCCGACCTCAGACGCGACGAGGTGGCGTACAAGGCCGCGGAGAACAAGGCGACCGCAGCCCACGCCTTGGCTGGTCCAGGCGGCCGCATGCACACGCCCGCCGCCGTTTCGGCAAGCGGGTGCGGCGTGATTCAGGAAATGGTGTACTTGCCGGGCAACGACCTGCACACAATCCCCAACGTCTCGAGGCCGGAGGACTGCTGCAAGGTGTGCGCCCAGGCCGCGGAATGTGTTGCGTGGACGTGGGGCAGACGGCTGAGCGAGTCTTCGTCGGTGCTGCCTCACGGCGCGCACATGTGCTACCTCAAGGGTTCCAAGCCGCGGCTGACGCTCTCAAGGGTCTTCGACCCCGACTTCACGTCGGGCTGGACGACGCCAGCCGTGAAGCCGAGCTCCATCAGCACCCAGTGGCCTATGGACGGGGCCTCGCTCCTGTGCGCCTCCCCGCTCGCCTCGCTCGCCTCGCCAGGGCTCGGCGAGGAGGCTGGCAGGAGCCTGCTGGCGCTCCAGTACGGCCTGCAGGCCAGCCTCTTCGCCTGCGACGAGTACATGGTGTTCGCGGCCGACGACGAGAGGCCCGTGGCCCCTGGCGTCTGGCCCGTGCGGCTGGCCGAGCCAGAGGGGCAGACGGGCGGCCGCAGCCTGGCGCGCTCTGGCGCCAAGGATCTCGGCAGCGCGCGAGGGGGGCAGTGAGGAGGAGGAGGCCTTCTCGGAAGGCTCGGAGGTCCCCGTGGCCTTCTGAGAAGTTTTCTGAGCCTTCCCCGAAGACGGAGAAGCAAAAACTCTCGGAGGGCGCGAGGGCCTCTGAGGAGTCCCGCCGCCTTCTGAGAGGGCCATCATCCATCTCACTTTCCCCTTCCCGCCCGCGGCCGATAGGACGCGGATGCCCGCATGGTCGTGCTCGAAGCCAAGCTGCTGTTGTGGCGGCTGCTCATCCAGAGCAGTCGGTACCGCTTCCACGACTGGACGGTGATCGTGGATCCGCAGACCGTCTTCATCTCGGGCCGGGCGAAAGGGGGGGATTGGGAAAGGGGGGGTTACGAAATTTGCTGCATGCAGCTGGTTTCGGTCTCACCGAGGGGCCCATTCCTCGATACATGGCCGCCTCCGGCGCCGGGAGGCGCCGGGAAAATCAGCTACGTGAGCTGTTTCTCAAACCCCCCCTTTGCTATCCCCCCCCTTTCGCCCGACCCGATCATCCCGGGTCGGCTCCGCAGCAGCATCCGCCACATCGACGAGCCGCCGACGGGGACGTCGGTGTCCGCCTGCGAGGACCACCCGAGCCGTGCGCTCGAGGTGCTCTCGCGGAGGGCGGTGGACGCCTGGTCCGTGGGCTGGGAGCGCTGCCTGGACTCCTTCGCCCTCCACGAGCCCACGAACCAGTCCCGAGAGGAAGTGCCATCCGACTGGTGCCTCGGAGTTCTGCAAGCCCGGTGCGACACGGACACGCGCCCGCTGAGCTCACCGGAGTGCGCGCAGACGTGGCAAGCGAACGGCTGCTCCAACGTGTCGTTCGCTGCTTACCATCCGTTCGGCACGGAGGATGATGAGCCTGTTTTCCACCACCACCATAAATTGGAGGAGGGAAGGAGGATGAGGAGGAGGAGGAGGAGGAGGACGAAGAGGAGGAGGAGGAGGAGGAGAAAGAGGAGGAGGAAGAGGAGGAGGAGGAGGACCCCCTCCCCCTCCAACTTATGGTGGTGGTGGTGGTGGTGGAAAACAGGCCCATCAGAGGAGTCTTACAAGCGGTGTCTTCAGCAGTCGACATCCTCGGTGCGGTGACCACGGGTGCCATCCAGGCAGCGCGGAAGGAGCTCAGCATGCTCCTCGTGATCCCCTGCTGCGCTCTGCGGGGTCATCCCGTGCGTGCGTAGGCTCAGGATGATGTATACCAGAAGGGCGAGGACTGTCAAGGGGATGGTCCAAACCGGTTTGAATGAGAATGTAGTTAGGAGAGACTGCCAGAAATGCCGTTATCGGGTTGGGAGGATGGGGCTGAGACAAATGACCAGATCATCCATCTTACCGCGTATGTTGAAGGTGCTTATTACACAGTCGTGCCGTGTATCTTCCCAACCCCTTCCTTCCAACAAGATCGTTGTTTTCCTCTCGCTGGGCAGGAGGTGTGGCATGCTTCGGTTGAGTGGCAGAGCGGAAGTGCGGGGAAGGAAAACGAGGTGGATTTCAGTGGCAGCGAGGGTTGGCACGGTAGCATGTACATACGAGAGCACGACTGCCACGCTCGGAAAGAAGCGTTGTTGCAGCGGGGTCCTTCGTTGACTCTGAAATTCGTGTGTTCGGCATCCGCTCTCTCTCTCTCTCTTCCTTCTTTCCCTTCCTCTGCCTCTGCCCCCCTCTTTTTTGTTTTGTCTCTCTCTCTCTCTCTGTTTTACTCTATCTAGGGGTCCACATGCGAACCCTACCCCTACCGCCCACGATTTCTGAGGGGCAGGGTGGGGTTCACTTCGTTCGGGAGACCCCCTATCTATAGTTGAAACCTGCTGTATAAGCATATGTATGACACGTACATGTATGTACCTTATGCACCGCCCTCCCTCTGCCCCTGCTCACCACTTATCTGTCCCATGCTCGCTGCCCACGCTTCTCTTCGTATCCAGCAGACCGCTTACAACTTCCTGCTTGCCTCTGCATGACGGTATCTTCCATGTAGCTTTAGGCCTCTGCTCAGAGTGCGTCTCAGAGGAAGTCTGGCACGCTCCCGAGCGGTGTACAACAAGAACTTTTTCACTACTTTTTGAAGGGGCTCCCGGATTCCGTTGGCGTGCTCTCCTCTGAGGGGATCCCCGCCGAGTGCGAGAATCCATGGCGTGCGTAGAACCGCTGGGCATCGTTCTGTGACGATGTCAAGCTGGCCCGAACGCTTAGCTCAGGCATCGCGGGATATTGGTGGAGAGGAGGTAGTGGACGAAGTATCTCAGAGGTGGTGGAGCCGCCCGGTCGAGGTTGGGCGAGCTGTCGTGAGCGACGACTGCTTGTTTCTGGGTGGGCTTGTTTTTTTAGCGACGTTTGCCCACAGCGGCGCGGTAGCAGTGTCTTCGCAGTCCGTCCCACCAGGAAGAGCAAGCTCAGCCCTCCTCTGCTCAGATCTTCTTGCACCATCTAGGGCCCCGCTCTCCTGTGTTCCATGCGCCGATAGGTTTCGAGTCATACCAGGCTGGCGTGTGAGACTCGCGTAGGAGGTCGTCCGAAGACTGCCCGATGTGGCTGGAGTTTCCGAGCCGCGCACCATCAAACAATGACTGACATTTGGTTGGCCTGCGCCGAGGAAGGCTATATTCGCTCGAGTTCCACGAAGACCTGATCTTGGCGGATCGTTCAAAAACGTGTCGTTCTAGCTGCAATGCTGAAGGCCAGCGGTTATAAATCCGAGAGGTCTGTACGCTCCTACAGTCTCTGCACCGATGGATGAGCGTGTCTGGGCTACAATGTCAGGCGCTCTTCGCTTGGCTGGAGGGTGTCCATGGGTTCTAGCAGCAGCAGCAGCAGACAAGTCGCGAGGATTGTGAGGACGACGACGAAAAGGAAGAGCAGGAGGTGGATGACGAGGAAGCAATGGTGGCAGTCGGGGGGGGGAACACACAGACACAATTAATCGTCGATCCCCCGGAAAATATGGGAACATATGGGAAGTGGGTGGGAAGACGAAAACCCGGAAAATGTTAGAAATTTATGGGGAATCTTGGGATTAGTGTGTATTTACTTGTGTGTCCCTTGGCCCCTTCAGTCAGATACGCAACGCGCTGCTGCGCGACATGAAGTCGGCCTGACTCCGACCCAGCTCAAGGGCTGTCGCAGTCTACGGCCACGCTCAGGGGATGTAGCTAGCAGCATTGGCGGAGTACACACCTAGTATCTTTCAACCGAACCTCATCCCCATCCCCATTTCCTTCGAGACCCCCACCAAATTACACCCCCCAGTTGGGGACCCACCCTTCGAAGCCCGAATGATACGGCCTATATCCCCATCTAGGGGGGTAAATCGGCCAGTGGGGCCCAGGCCACGCCGCTGGGGATAGGGATCGGATAAACAATGCTCATCTACAGCGAAACGGCTGGTGATAGGCACGCTCCGGCGCCAAATGGCGCCAAGCGTCTTGGGGGCGACGCAGCAGATCGAATCTGAATTGCCAGGGATGTCAGTGCCTTAGGTTCTGCCCTTACAGCATCAGTCAGGGAGAAGCGGGGAGGAGGTAGCTCAGGCGCGCACGACCTGGTCTCGCGGCAGGTCTCTCGAGCGATCACGTCTGCGCCCTTGGCTTGCGCCCCAGCTCCGGGGGCCGGTGTGGCCTTCCCCTCTTGGCGGGGGGTCCAGGGGGCCCTGCGCCCCGGGGGCGGGCGGTGGGCGCTTTCCTGGGGTGTGGTGTTCGGGGCGTGCCTGGGCCTGGTCTGGTCGCCGCGGGTTCCGGGGGCCGCCGCGGGGGTGCGGGGTTGGTCGCGCTTCGCGGTCGGGGCGGTTTCGGGGCGGGGCGCGGGCCCCTGGTTCTGCTCCTCGGGGGGCGGTGCGGGGGCGCGGGGGTGGTGGCGCTTCGCGCCGCGCGGGGGGCGGATCGCGGGGGTGGTTGCCCTTGGGGTTCCCGGGCCGGTCCCCCCGCGGAGTGAGGGCGAGGCCGGGTCTCCTCCTCCGGGTGGGGGAAGGGGGGATTGGGGGGTCCTCCTCCTCCTCTTTCTTCTTCTCCCCCCCCCTCCTCCTCCTCCTCCGCCTCCTCCTCCTCCTCCTCCTCCTCCTCCTCCTGTTCCTCCGTCTCCTACCTATGGTAGTGGTGGTGCAAGGTCGGCCCATCAGAGGCTGGGAGGTCCCCAGGACCAAAGCTCCTCCCGCGCCGCCGTGTTGGCGGTCCCGAGGGCCGCGGAGGGCCTCCGGCGGCCACAGACGTCGACGACGACGACGACGATGACAATGACGACGACGACGACGACGACGACGACGACGACGACGACGACGACGACGACGAGCATGTGTCATGGTGGCTTCGAAGGAAAATCTGCGTAAACATCAACCTTCGGAACTCTGCTCAGGTTTCTGGCATCGGCGCCGGACACTCCTCCCTGGCGCTCGGAGCACGCCACGGGCGGCGCGCGCCAGGGAGGGGGGCTAGCACTAGTCACTAGCCTAAGAAATCCGCCAGGACCTCCGAAAGATTGTGCTTATACTGACTCTTCGAGAAAAAATTATACCTCCTAACCGTAATCACACATTGTGCACGTGGCCTCACTGAGGTCCCCGTCTTTGCATACGGGATAATGATTCTGGGCGGTTGTGTTCTATACATCTGCAGAAAAAGAGCCCCTATCCCCAATCTGTTTGGCCCTCCTGACTTAGATGCCCTCCCAAAGGATAGGGCGCTCTTTTTTTGCGGATCATGCTCCGTCCTCACAGCGGGGGCCTAGCAGGGCGTCCCGTGGACCGCGTCTGGCCCCAGGGCTCCGCAGAGAGGGGCTCCGGAAGGCCATGGGGCCGGAGCCCTTTTGGAGGAGCAGGGCGGATGTTGGCAGCGATTGCTCTCGAACGAGCTGCGGAGCTGGCCAGGTCGCCCCCTCTTCGGCGTCGCGGCGTCGCCCCAACATACCAATACTATGTGTGCATCGCCCCCCGAGGGGCGACGCGCGCACCTAGGAATCTTACAGTATATGCGTCGTGGCGGGCGCTTTCTGGCCGCACCGCCTGGGAAACGATGTGCTACAATATGGGTATCCTATATATATATATATATATATATGTTTGGGTCGGGCGCGCGCCTCCAAGGAGGACGTATCGTATTAGCATGCCTCTGTGCGTCCCACCTCGCCCTCACACCCTCGGCGGCTGCACGCGCGGATAGCCCAGTGGGGGAGGTGCACTAGACGTATCCAGGCGCTCCGATCGCCCATGCCTTCGGCCAGGCTGCCTGGCGAAAGCGAGCAGCGCCCGTCTTTGGGACATCCGGCCCCCCTTTGCCTCCGCCAGCCGTGCGTTCGCCGCCCCGCTTGCCCCCCATCGAGGGCGAGAAACGTGTCCGTATCTACGGCCTCGCCGGCCTTGACCCTGGGCCGTGCCCCCGCGGATGCGGCGCGTTTCTGCCGCGGTTGCCCCGCGCGGAACGCACCCCAGCGACCGCGCATCTAGACCGCGAGGGCGCGGATGCGGACATGTTCGCCGCTCGTGACCTCACCGCCGCCGACGTGGTAAACAGACGTCGTCGTGACGTCGTCGTCGTCGTCTTCGTCGTCGTCTTCGTCGTCGTCGTCTTCGTCGTCGTCGTGGTCGTGATCGTGGTGGTCGTCATTGTCGTCGTCGTCGACGTCGTCGCCGTCGTGATCGTCGTCGTCGTTTTCGCCGTGGATGTTGCCGTGGATGTTGCCGTGGACGTCGCCGTGGTCGTGGTCGCCGTCGTCGTCGTGATCGTCGTCGTCGCTGTCGTAGTCGTCGTCGTCTTCGTCTTCGTCGTCGTCGTCGTCGCGGCCGTCGTGGCCGTGATCGTCGTCGTCGTCGTCGCGGTGGTCGTGATCGTGGTCGTCGTCGTCGTTGTCGTCGTCGTCGTCTTCGTCGTCGTCTTCGTCGTCGTCGTCGTGGTGGTCGTCGTTGTCGTCGTCGTCGTCGTCGCCGTGGTCGCTGGGTTGGCCGTGGTTGTCACCGTGGTCCTGGTCGCCGTCATCATCGCGGTCTTCGCCGTCGCCTTCGTCGTCGCCTTCGTCGTCGCCTTCGTCGTCGCCTCCGCCGTGGTCGTTGTCGCCGTCTTCGTCGTCGCCTGCGTCGTGGTCTTCGTCGTCGTCGCCGTCGTGGT